TGTGTGTGTGTGTGTGTGTGTGTGTGTGTGTGTGTGTGTGTGTGTGAGAGAGAGAGAGAGAGAGAGAGAGTAGGGAAAGGGGAAGGGGTCTTGTTCTCTTCCACATTTTTTCTCTCTTTTTAGCCAGGCTACCAGTGGCCCACGGGCCAAAAAAAAATTTGCTTTTTAAGACTTTTAAACTTTTTTATTTTAAATTTCGTAAAGAATTCTGATGTGACCCTGAGGCAAAAGTTGTTCAGTTGATTTTTCTGCGTATCATATAGGTTATAAGTTTATAACTTTTTTTGGTATTTTTCATGTTTCTTCCCTCCCCTCCCCCCCCCCGGGACCTTCCCTGGTCCTTGCACAGCCGTGGGCTGCCCGGGCAAATAAGGTGACCATGGCGGCCCAGCTGGTAGCCCAGCTTTTTCATAAGCTTTTACCCTGCTTTTTTATGATGTTTTTTCAAAAAGTTGGACGAGGGGAAGGTGCAAGAGGAGAAGGAAGAGTTAGCGATGGCCGGAAAAGAAAAGGGGTAGAATTTTTAAGAAGAATACTGTATCCGTGCTGAGCATAGCTGTTCAGAGAAAGGGGTATTGGGAAAAAGGCAGGGAGAGCAAGAGGGAATAATATCTGGGGTCTTAAGGGACAGAGGTTATCTGTACGCAGGAAAACAAAGACCCAAGAGTTAATTGCACGTGATTTCTAATGTGATTGCGTCCAACTTTCTTTCTCATTTTTGTGTGATCTTATTGTTTGGACTAATATTGTCAGACTCGTCATGTTCTTTTTCTTTAATTTTTTTTTATCTTCCTTGTGGACTAAGCTGCAATAGCCTTTTTATGAGTGATTTCTAATTGATTAATGCTATCTGCCATACTGATGGGTCTAACTCAGTGCACCCACAAACTGTTGACATACAGACCTCCTGAGTTCGAAATTCAAATCCAGATCGAACTAGACAACCGACATCAAATACTTCTGAATCACTTGAGGCTGGACAGTCCGATTAGAACTATCTCAGGGCCATCACCTTTGAAAAAAAAAGGAAAAAGAAAAAGCCATTTGCCTTGAGAGCATGTATTTTCTTTGCCTTGAGAGCATGTATTTTCTCCGTGAGGTGCGTCGCAAAAACATGTGTGTGCCCAGTGCAAATCAGGCAGTTTTGCTGTGACAACAAGTGGTGCTCTTTGGGTGGAGTAGGTGGGTTGGCACACCTATGAAAAGATTCAGAGAAGAAGATGACAGAGAAGGCAATAATGGCCCCGCCGAAAGGAAGAAGAAGAAGAAGAACGTTGATTATGATGATGGCAAGAGCAACCACTGTTTCTTTCCTCTCTATGTTGCTTTTTGCCCTTGATATTGTCGAAGTGGAGGGCACGCGACTTCAGAATGTCTTGGTGAACAATTCTAGGTGTGTATTATCTGTCCACAGGGCATGTACAGCATGTAATGAGAGTTAACTTTGTAGTTGTATTGATATGATTCTTGCTACAATCCAGGAGGGGAAGAGCCCATGGCCACTGATCAAGAAATCGCTGAGACTTGCAGTTGAAGATAACGATGATTCCAAGTAAGTTTTTCAGCAGGAATTCATTCACTGTTGCCATTGGATTTCCTGTGAGGTCGTGTGCTTGGCGTTATTATCTAGCATCTCATAGTACGATACGACGTTTGGGGCTGACTCACACAGTTTGTTCTTTGTATAGCATCGGTCATCTGCTGCTTCCTGGTATTGGAACCACACTTTATTATTGCTGCGGTCTTCCCTCCCCCGCAACCCCCCCCCCCNGAGGCCCAATGCTGTAAATTTCGTATTTGGGTTTTCAGGCAGTTGTGTCGCGTCAGTTGGTTGAGGGAACCCAGGACTCGAGCAGCACCACCATAAAATTCTGTCTCTTATACACATCTAGATCCCCCCCCCCCCCCGCCTCCCGACCGCCCCCCCCCCCCCTCCGCCTCCCGACCTGTAGATATCTTTGTCTATGATACGGTCAGTATCATATGGCCCATCCATATTTGGGGATATTCTTGATCTGCGTGAAGGGAAGGCATTGCTAGTTACGCAAGGCAGCAACTTGGAACATTCTTCATGATGATTGCACTGTTCCCTATAGTCTATACTCATGTCCAGTTCATCTTCCTTCTTGTGGTCAAACAGAACCGGCACACCGTACTGTTATGTACCCGATTGAACTTCAATCCACAACGAATTCACACTTTCCCATACATGCATGCAATTGCAGAGTAGACTCGAAGGAGGCAAATCCACACAAAACCGAAGAGAAGATATGCACAGCGGAAGCTCAAAACACACGGAGAATTGAAAAACGAATTTCAATTCTGCAATCCCTCGTCCCCCTCCAATCAATCCAGAGTACTTGTTTCAAGAATCACAACCACGTTTACAACAACCACGAACAACCAGAAACAAGTGTTCAACGAAGTATGCAGGAGTCTTCTTCTTCCTCCTCGCCACCTCATATCCCTGCCTATGGCTGCCGTAGCAGCAGTAACCCCACAACTGTCACAACGTGCCGATCTGAACCAGCAACCCTAATGATAACAGCGCCAGCTCAGCACCCGCACGGAAGTGCAGCGCTGGAAGTCCTGATGAAGAAGGAGACGACCGATCCAGCAGTTCGAAGACGACAAAGTTCCTCGAGAGGAGGAACAGCAGATATGGCTGCCAAGTGGAAGATGGCAGTGTTATGAACTTGGTTGTCTGACAATTTTCACCGCCACTCACACGCAGACAGTCTCATACATGCCCATACATGCATAAGAAGAAGGGGAGAGGAGACATAGTACACACTGTACATAAATGAGAATAGGCAGCAGAACATAACCATGCACAGGTGTGGAGAGGACACACAGTGTTTCTCACTCTCTGACGAAACTCCCAACAACCAATCACAAGAAGACACCTGCGAGGATAACAATAGGATTCACACTGATGATGAGCCAACTCAAACCAATTATCGTTACAAAGTTTGTTTCAATATCTCGCCACCCTCAGAACTCCACACACCACTCTCTACCCTACACCCAGTTAGTAGCGCAACCGGCGGAGCTTGAAGTTTCATATCATGACTAATGGCCTCCCAGAGGCCAGCGCCAACCGCCCAGATGGAGAAGAGGTGCTGCTACGAAGCCTTCAGCGCCGATGAACACTCTGACGAAGAAGCTGGCAGCTATGGCTGCCACACCACTGACGAAGCCCTGACAACTCCAGAGGGGAGATGGGCGATAGTGGTCAACCCACGAATACTCAATGAAGAGCCTCAACATAGCCCCGCCAGACGCAGATACCCTCAGGGGTAGATGCTTTGAGGATGCCCCAGCTATGGCAACCTCCAAAAGGCTGGCTACGGCTGCCACACCATGGCGAGGGTTTCAGGATGCAGCCTGCAGACCATCGCCTGCACCAAACTTCCTTGGCTCCAAACGCCGTGTCATGAAAATGAACAGCCCAAAAGTCCCCCAAACTACCGGCTCAGTCCTATTATTAAACTAGCCTACGCTAGACGTAGACCTATTGGGACCGGTACTGTTTCAGTTTGGTTTGTTCGGCCTTGAGTCCTGGACCCTATCCAGCTATACGGCGTGAGAACGTTGCTACAGCCCAAGGCCCGCTGGGCCTGCTGTCCTAGGAATAGCCGGGTACTGCCAGAGGCAGTGAGAGTACTAGAGGAAATTTGTGGCACTACTGGGAGTGTAATTTTCCCAGATTTACAGATCTGTCCCTCCATAATTTCCCTCGGACTGAGCTCACAGTTAGTCCCTGACACAAACAAAATTACGAATCTTACCCTAGGACACAACTGTACAACCTCGCAGTCAGATCTCGACAACAGAAATCAGCAAGTCATTGCAGGCTTACCCTCTCGGGGAGTGAGGACCTCCGAGCTAGGGGTGCAGACGAGGAGATCGGCGAGGAAGGTTCCCTTTCTGAGCCGGCTGGTAACGAAGTACTACAAACTTTGTTGTCTTGAGAAGTTCTTTCCAGGTGAACCACCTATCCTCGGTATGAGGTTGGAAACAGAACTTTACAAGATACTGTTGGTCGGGGCCAGTGCCCCACTCGTCCTCGATGGACGCCATGTCATATCCCTTGTCGGGGATCGGTGGACCAAACTAAGGGGGCCAGTTTGGGAATGCATCAGTTGGGATGAAAGGAAGCAACTTGGATGCATGGAAGACCGGATAGGTCTGTAGATGCAGTGGGACGTCGATAACGTACGACGGGCCAAAAGGATCGGAGCCCACTGTATCTAACACCTGCCACGGACCCAGGTATCGTGGCAACAGCTTGGGAGAGATATCCTCCTCCCTCGACAACTTTGAACTGGCTACCCAGATGTAATCGCCAGTAAGAATGGGGGAAGGACGTCGGTGGCGATTAGCTTGTTCAATCATGGCCTTTTAAGCCTTGAACAAGTTTGCCCGTGTCCTTTCCACATCGGCTTTGTAGCGTCTGGTAAACTCTGCAGTGCCAGGGGTCAGATCAGACTTAGCCTTATTGATGATGTCATCAAGAGGCTGTCGTGGCTCACGCCCCCAGTGCAACCGATATGGACTAAACCCCGTTGAAGAGTGGATGGAGGTATTGTAAACAAGTTGTGCACGAGCCAGGTGGAGATCCCAGTCCTGTTGATCTGGAGAGATGACAGGCCGCAGCAACTGAAACAAGACTTGGTTTATCACTTCAACCTGACCATTGGCTTTAGGATGACGGCCATAAGTCATGTCCAATTGTGAGTGTAGGTAGTCCTTGCAGTAGGACTGCCACTCATTGTTGCAGAATCGTGGATCTCTATCACTTACTATACAAGTGGGCGGTCCATGGTGAGTGACCCACCTCTCTGAAAATGCTGCTCTCACAGCGGGGACCCTAGCTTCTTCTGGCAAGGGGATGAACTCTGCATACTTAGAGAACCTGTCCACACAGACCATTACCTGACGCATGCCACGAGGGGTGGTCTTGCCTAGATCTGTTAAATCTATAGATACAGATTCAGCAGGACCATCAGGTATGGGCAAGGGTTTGAGCAGTCCCAGAGGAGGTCTACGTTGGACCTTACTTCTCTGGCAGAGCTCACAGGTTTCAATATAGTGCAACAAATCACTCTGCATCTCCTTCCATAAGAAGCGCTGCGACAGGGCTGCATATGACTTTAGGAACCGGAAATGGCCGCTTGCATGACATCAGCAGAGTCCTCAGTCGCTGGTCCTGGGGAATGCACAAGTGCTCCTCACCCCTGCTGTAAGTGTACAACAAGTCTGAACTCAGGTCATAGCCTGGTTCAGAGTTGGGATCTGCTTGCAGATTCCTGACTATGGGTCCATAAGTCGGGTCCTGAGGCAGTAAACGGGCAATGGTCTGACGAGTCTCCTCTCCAAAGGAGTGAGTAAAGGAGATCAGCGCAAAAGCGTCAGGCCTACGAGAGAGGGCGTCCGCTAATTTGTTGTAGCAGCCCTTCTTATGTTTCAGTTCAAAGTCGAACATGTGAATGAACTGAATGTACCATGCTAGTTTATCGTTTAACTCTCCCTGGGACTTCATCCACTGTAGCGTGGAATGATAAGAAAAGATCTTGAAGTGCCTTCCCAGGAGAAAGTGCTTCCAATGCTTTAGTGCACAGACAAGAGCATACAACTCTTTCTTGTAGGTAGAGTCTTGAAGCTTCTATGTCTTGAACTTCTTGCTCATGAACTCTACAGGCCGTAGACCATTCCCATCATCTTGCTTAAGAACTGCTCCAATGCCATACTGACTGGCGTCAGTGGTCAAGATAAATGGCAAAGTGGGGTCAGACAACTTCAGCACTTGTGCACGAGTCAAAGCCTTCTCGAGTCGTGTGAAGGCCAACTGGCAGCGGAGGGACCAAAGAAAAGGAGTGTCTTTCTTTGTTAGGTTAGTCAGGGGTGCGGTCACTGCAGAAAAGTTCCTAACAAACTTCCTGTAGCACGAAACCAAACCCATGAAGGACCTGACATCCCTCACTGTCTGTTGTTGGGGCCACTCCTGAATAGCAACAATTTTGGTTGCTTCAGGGGTCGTCCCATCTCCAGAGATTACATGACCCAGATAGATGACAGAGGGAATTCCAAAAGAGGACTTCTCTCTGTTGACCTTATACTGGCTGTCACGTAACGACTGAAGAACCAGAGCCAGATGCTCCGCATGCTCCTTGGTAGTTCGGCTGAATACCAGAATATCATCTAGGTAGACAACAATGAACTTGTCCAGGTAAGGCCTAAAGATATTTGTGCGAGGCCACTGCCTTTATGAGCCCCATTCGACCCCCATTTGGAAGCAAGTCGGCCGTCCTAAGTGAAGGCGGGCTCGACGAGGCCCTCAAGGCCCTATTTCGGCCACTACGCAACTAAGGAAATTCAGGTAATTGCGCAGCGCCAGTTGGTTGAGAAAACCCAGGCCTTGGGCCGCCTGTGTGAATGTATTGAAAGTAGGCCCTGGGCTGGATACGGGTACTGGGCCAAACACAGGCCAAAGGCAGTTGGGTGCATGCAACTACCTCAGGCCAAGGGCCTGTCCTCGTTCGTACTGGG